ATGACAATTTAAACATTACCGCCCATTACAATAAAACAAACTACAACATTTAAAAAAAAAAAATTGATTTAAAGGAGGCTATACTGACTCCACCTGCTGCATTTCCTCAGGCAGAGTGTTCCAAAGCCCCAGAGCTCTCTTTTCCAGAGCTTTGTCTTTATCCAAGAATCTGGAACAGTAAAAAGGCCCTTGCCAAGAATGAGCTGGGTTATATGAGGGTTAAAAAAATCTGCAATATACTGAGGAGTCAGACCATTTAGTGCCTTGCAAGTAATTAAAATAGCCTTAAAATCGAATCCAAAATGCCCTGTAAGCCAGTGTTAAGAGGTTAAAACAGGGTGATGTGTTCAAACCTGTTTACTCTGGTTAAGAGCCGGCAGCTGAGTTCTGTACTGTCTGAAGACGCTCTCAGTATTTACTGTGAAGTAATAAAAAATATTGTGGTTTGACAAGCTATAATGAATTGGGAAAATAGGAAAATGATCTCAGTTGAGCACTTTTAGATCATGTGGGACCAACATATTAGAATCCAATAAATTCAAAGTACTTTTTTCAGTATACAGACTCTGGTTTTGGAGAAAACTGTTTTGTATTTTCTCCTCTACTGTGCCATTGATGCCATATTTGTGTTTGTAAAACCATTTGAATCTTATTTATAATAATTAAACTGAACCCAGGTTCCTGCAAGAAGCTACATTCATGGCTGTGTCCAGAGGTTCCATGTTCATCATGTGGTAATCAAATTAAATGTAAATGTATTCATATTATACACATCATATGAACTGAAATAACAGGGGCCTTTAAAGTTTGATAAAACCTACTCAAGTGACAGAGCAGGTCATTTTACACCATGGGAATGGAATCATTTAAATGGAATCACGTCAGTTTATGATTGTTTCCAAGCAAGAGTGCGAGGGGTTGCTGTAGAATATTTTACCCGATTGGTGGTTCAGAGTCTTTTTTATTCCAGTTCAGTCTTAATTATATTATAACACTTATATATTTATAGTGTAGATTCAGTGGGGATGTAAAGCATTTTACAACAAAGGAAAATAACCTCTTTATCTGTTTCATGCTCATATGAGTCTGTATGGATTCATGTATTATTACAGCTCTGTATGGATTCATGTAGCCTGGATGAGGTATTCACCGGTGTTATGGATTAATAAACAATGAGTTGTGCAGAGTAACTGTAGTTGAAATCTTTGCATTGCACGGCTAATAATAGATTTAAAGTGTTGGATATGTGAGGTTGGACGGGACAACTGGGACAAACAGTTAATTTCTCCAGTGGCAGCAGCAGCAGCAGCAGCAGCCTCAGAGCGCTCCTGCATTAATAACTAATGTTGTGGTCTTTATTGTTGTTTAAAGAAGCCCTGTGTCAGCACCTGCTTTTATGAGCTCAATTATTTCCATTTATATTGGCCTCCTATGGTGCACATTCCTAAATAAAGATGTGTTTAATCAAATTAATAGATGCAACGTGACACAGGAGCCAGATACAGTCAGTGCAGCTTGTGTAGATGGTTCCTGAGTGTCTGGACAAACAATGAATCTACCGTGTCTCAAATGTTGTGTCCAGTGTAGGCTTACATGATAGGGAATGCAGAGGCAGTGGGTATGAACACAGAGTTGGGAAGCGGAAGTGATCAATCAAAGCCCAGCACTAAACTTTCTCTCTCTGGCCCTCAACTGTTGACAACAGTGAAGACTTTATACCAATCTTATTTAAAAGACAAGATTTGTCAGGTCTTTGTGCTGCCATGAAAGATTGTAATATTTGTAACTAGCACCTTAAAACTGGAGCTGACGCTGCCATCAGAAGTCTGCCAGTAGCTGGTAGTAGGTGGCTGCCAAACACTGAAAGGAGGGTGAAGTTGCACCTGATTGTCAGTAGTGGATTTAAGGTGCAGCTGCTGGAAGTTGTCAGAGGCTGAAGATCGTGGTTTGAGAATAGAGGATGCAGGAAGTTGAAGCAGCTGTCTTCTGCGAGAGGAGGATGCTGCAGCGGGTTAAAAGAGACTTGAGATGGGAGCTGGAAGTGACTGTGGGAGGAGGTTTGACCTGAATCTGTTTGCCAGAATCAGGTGGAGCAGTTGGAGGCCAGGGCTGCAGGTTACTGCCAAAGGCTGCAGGGAGGAGTTAGAGGAGACTATTGCTGGAGGTTCGGGCTTAACCTGTCTGTCAGAACATGCAGGTTAGTGAGGCTGCAGAGTCTGAAGGTGGAGATAGAGCTACAGGTTACTGACAGAGGCGGTAGGTAGAGGTTCGGGGATGTAGGTATCTGCTGTTGCGTCAGTGCACTCAGCGGTTCATCGTGTTGTTTATACCCCTCAGGTTGTACTTAAATGAGAAGTTGTTGATTAAGGAATTTGAGCTGCAGTTTCCTTGGAGTGCCAGCAGAGGTCAATGTAAATCAAGAATTAACTAATCTTCCTTTGGGTGGTGTTGGAGCTGTGGGATGTGGGAAGAAGCAGGTGCACAGTTGGAAGAAAACGGGGTGGGGGGTGCAGTTATGGCAGCTTCAGCCAGCTCAGTTGGAATTCAGAGGTCAGCAGACAGGAACATGCACTTCCTGTGTATACATAACTGTGTGCTGACATGTTTGTATGTGTGTGTTTGATTGCACAGATCATTCAGCTGACTGGTAAAATGAGGAGCTGAGCAAAAAGCGATAATCCCATAAACTTGTGTACTCTACAGTGAGTTTATACGATCTTACATTACACCTCAACCCATAGTGCCACTAGCATCATGGCCCTCTAGGGATGGTGTCTCCATGATCCTGAACTTTGAAGTCATGCAAAGTAATTATTGGTTTTTAAATCTAAACATCTCAGGGATCCAGTAGGTTCACTTACTGGACTTACAGCTAACTTGCTAGCTGGTCGGGATAACGCTACATGTTCATTTTCTCTCTACAGTTCTGTTTATCATCCTGGCAAATCAAAATGAGCCAGTCTGGTCTATGAAGGTTTTCTGTGATTAGCATCACCAGCATGTCTCGCCTTCACCACATGCTTAGCAACATGAATTGATAGGATTAGAGACGAGAAAGTTTTAACACGTACACCATTTGCTGTTCGGCTGAGTCGAAGCCTGACACTAACATTTAAAACTGTATGCATTGGACGTCTCATCACTTTCCGCCACCATTATCCCTTTGAAAATCAGCAAATCATCAAAGTTTAATGAATCCAAGATAGGTTGGCTGGCCCGAGAAGGATCGATTTGAGCCTTTGTTTCTCAAGGGTAAAAAGAGGCATTTGGAGGAGCCTTAGAAATGGGACATCCTAGTCACCTAGTGTCTGTGACACAGACGGTCCTGAAAAACAGCCTCAGAGGGAGACGGCTCCTGAATTGAGACTTAGCTTGGGCCTTTGTGGCTCTTCTACTACTTTTGGAAATCGATGTGGCTCCACAACACTACTAGTGGTCAAAAACTCCACAGAACACGATTCACATTCACTAACCCTATCAAAGGGACTGTTCACTGAGGATGAGTGTAAAGGATGTTGTTTCGAGTCGAATATGGATGTCGGGGCTTGCAGACACTTGGATGACACCACGAGAGCAGTATGGAGTCATATTATGTTTTTTCTGTTGTTTTATAACGTCTGAAGTCTCAGTCACCATTGACTTCAATCGTTTTGGAGAGTAGATGATGAGTGCATTTCCATTTTTCAGTGAACTATCTATAAACATCAAGCTTGACTTGTTCACCAGTGAACCAGCACCAATTCCTTTAGATAGATAGATAGATAGATAGATAGATAGATAGATAGATAGATAGATGGATAGATAGATAGATAGATAGATAGATAGATAGATAGATAGATAGATGGATGGATAGATAGATAGATAGATAGATAGATAGATAAATAGATAGATAGATAGATATACTTTATTCATCCCCGAGGGGAAATTCTTGTGTTTCAGCAGTACAGACTGGGTATGTGCAATAAGTACAAGTCCTTTTTTACATAGACAAATATAACGTTAGATCATCATCTCCAAAGCCATAAAGACATAGAACACATTTACAGGTGTGTTTGTGTCCACAGTGTGAACTCTGAAAGAATATTTTCATGGTATTTAAAATACTTGCGATAAAATAATGTGTTTGAATTATTTTATTGGAGAGGAACATGAGTATCAAGGAATAATTCACAGATCACATGTAATCCTCTTCATATGGATTCCTCCATGTTCATATCAACGCCGAATGTGCATATGTACCGTGTGTTCCCGCCCACCTGACTTAATGGAGATTTCCGTCCCTTTAAACCCGCACACAGGCCACGCAGGCTGCGTGACTCCTCGTCACACTCTGCGTGTCCGCCTCGGCGCCATTGGCCGCCGCCGCTGTGTGGGCGGGACACGATGCTGTGACTCAGCTCTGAGTCACCGCACGACACGTCTGTCACACACGGCCTGCTGCTGCGTTCAGGGACCGTGCGGACATACGAGGCTTTTAAAGTCGTGTCACATAAATATCCACACGAGGAGGGAACCAAGGCGCGCAGTAACACAAGTCTTCTTGGCGTGTAAATGTCCACGGGAGAATTTAGTGGGATATTCTAGATGCGCATGTTTGCGTTTAAATACCCTGTTAAGTACAGTTAATGTAACAGGTCTTGTGTTGATTTGCTAAATGAATATTTAAATGGTAGCTACACTACCCGGAATCTAGAATGAGCTGTAACTCTAATTGTATTTATCATTTAAACCCAAATTGAGTTGATGTTTTGACATCGTGCGCGCAAAGTGCACGTTTATATGTGTTTACGATCTGCTCCGCGACACGTGAACGCATCGCCGGAGTGTGATCTTACATGACTTCGCGTTGATCTGTGTCAGTGGAGACGCTGGACTGCTCCCGGTCCATCACTTCTTTTGGTGGGACAGAAACTTCTCATCCTAACAGCCAGTGAGTGAGCGTCCTTCCCCCGTGACAGCTACACACAGAGAGCCGCTTCCTTCCACCATATCCTCCACTTCAGCTCCGTGCTGGACGGATCTGCCACACAGGGTGAGTGTCTCCAACTGCGCCTTGAACTCTGCTGCCTGATGATGTCCGCCGCTTGTAGATGTTGTTTCACTGCGCGTCTCCATGTGGAGGTTACGCGCGATTTTACGCACGCTGCCTCCACATTTAGACCAGCTAAACATCTTCGTCAAGTGTCCCCCGGTGTGGTCAACATGGGACGCGTGCGTGTCCAAGGAACGGACAAAGTGCCCTCGTCTGTCCACATCAGTCAAACACGCTCACAGGAGGAGAAGCGCTGCGTGGAATCCCCATTACGCACCATTTCATTGCGTGGGACAAAATACAGCCAAACTACACTGGGAAACTGTTGTAAATTCGCTAAGGTTTGTTGTTTAAAGCAAATACATGATGAGAAAATGCTGCTGATAGTTTCTAATACATACAGTTAAACTGACATTTAAATCGGCATCCACATGGCACACGCACTGTGGCATGATATGATGAAATATTACATTTGGTAAAGGTGCCCCCTGCTTCGAAACCCTTCAGCTGCTGTAAGAGACAGTGGGGCTCCCGTCACGAGCAGAGGGAATCGATTCTGAAAGTTCAAAATATATGAATGTTAGTAATGTTCAGCTCATTTCATTAGTCGAGGGATTATTAGATTTCTCACAGACTACAGTTGGAAATGTTTGTGTAGCTACTAGAGAGACCTGAGCCTTTTGGAGTTGGATGAACCGACCACTGTTCTCTGCGGAGAGCTGTGCGCTGTGAGGCTTCTGCTGCCTGCTTTATATAACCAGGTTGCCTTTAAACTCAGTCACACACACACACACACACACACACACA